ACTTTTGGAGCTGTGGTGTGCCAACTTTGATTCTCCTGTTTGAAATGTTTTGTGGTTGAGCACAACATTGAGCTTTTGGCCTTTTTTGCTTTTTCAAAACACATAAGAACCATAAAGAGATGCAGAGAAATGGCAAAGAAGGCCTCTAGAGCCACAGCACAGGAGTTCTAGAGCGAGGAACGAGAAGCTGACCTCATCTCACTGCTCCAGATGGCTTCAGGCGTGTCAAACTCTCCCAAGAATATCTCGGAGAAGCGCTCGGCCTCGTAGTTCTCCAGGTAACACACCATGGCCTCCGGCAGCATCGAGCCCAACACGCTCCTCTGAACGATGTCCTGACCTTTAGCCTGCGGGTCAAACACATGCTCAGATTTACCGTGTCATCAGTGTTTAACTGCACTGTGTGAGACGTCAGATCTGCTTTACCTCCTCTGATTTAAAGGCTTGCTTCAGGTGAGTGTATTTCAAGAACCTAGAGAGAAGAACATATTTATGCATATGACAAGTTATCAAAAACATAAATGGCATTTCTCGGAGAACACATTATGAGGAGTTTAGTTCTCATGGCCTGAGATGCAGGGAGAGTACCGTGCCACGGGCAGCACGTTGGAGCCGGTGTACATCATGATGAAGAAGAAGACTCCGGTGAGGTAGAGCCGCTGCAGGTTAGGGTTGTCCTGCATCACCAGGTACAGCAGGTTAGCTACTTTCTCCACCAGGATGGGGTCAAAGGTCAAGAGCAGCTGAAGGACAGGAGAATGAACATGCGATGTTAGCAGGCTTTAGAAACACTGCTTTAGAGGAACACAGAGCTAGTGATGTGTACCTGGACGATGTGCGGCAGGCAGGTGCTGTCACTGATGAGTCTCTTCACCTTTGGTAAAGGCCTGATAATGGCATTATCTTGGTCCCTAAACACACAGACACAGTGAGTATTATTATTTAGAAGACAGAAAAAAATGCATGTTTAAACATATTTCAACGCATGAAGATGTCTAAATGTCTTTGCTTAGGAAATGATCAGATGATTCTAGACCTTTTTCTTCTGAAGTAGAAGTTTTCACACACTTTTGCATTTATTTTTTTGCCACTTGTAATATTTTGTTATTTAACACAATGGCATTCATATGGAATCCTGTTTCTACCACTGGATAAAAAAAATAAAAAAAGGTATTTTTTACATCTTGCGCATCTGACTTTTTTCCTCATGCTTCTTATTATCATCTCAGAGTTGCACAATATAAAACAGTTCGGAATTGTGACATAAAAAGTTGCAACTGCCTTTTTGATTAAAAAAAAAAAAAAAAAAAATACAAAATTGTGAGGGGAGTTTATCTCTCACAATTC